TCTTATATCGTATATAACCTCTCTTTTTGTCACAACAATAATCTAAATTTCATTTTCTTCCAAAAACGAAAACTTCATCACATAAGTTTGGTGTTTTTTTTTTTTAATCTTACACGAATCATATATTTCCGTTTCTTCCAAAAACGAAAACTTCATCACATAAGTTTGGTGTTTTTTTTTAATAATCATATATTTCCGTTTCTTCCAAAAACGAAAACTTAATCACATAAGTTTATCATAAAGATTAAAAGATTAAGACAACGAACATAATTCACTATACGTTTAGATGATTCGTTTTTGTTACTAACTTTCCAAAACGAAAATGTTTGATTCATCACATAATTTTGACCCTCAATCAAAACGAGGGTAACTGGCAGTTTACCTGGTAGTCTGGTAACAGGCGATTTAGCTACCTCCGGGCATTAGTCGAAAAACATTCCAAACTCGGATCAGGCAGTGTGGTAGCCCATCCCTCGGGGTGGTAGTGAGTCCACTCTGTAGCACTCCGGTGCGTTTCTACCGAGGCTGACCGGATCAGCCGATCGGATATATAAAAAAAAAATCAAAACGAAAACGTTGGTGTCTATTGTTCTTTTAATCTTTTATCAAACTTATCATTTGCTTTTTATTTATTTTCACATTACTTTTTTGGAGCCATTAAAAGATGAGGACTTTCAAAGTTGAAAATGCGTTGTTAACTTGAATGTCTCCAAGGTAAATGATGCTTTTAGCAAAATAAAATTATAAAAGAAAAGGGGAAACAAAATGAATCTTTCCAGTGACTTTGAGCAAAGACAGTTTTTTTCATATAATTGCCCTACAAAATCTGTTCAAAGACTAATCACTCCACTCATAAATATAATATAGCAAAGATAAATTAATTTAAACTAATATGTATATGCATATTGACAAGAACCATTAACATTGCATAATTCTTCTTCTTCTCCCCTTTTTTTTTCTTTTAAATGTGTCGATTCTCTCGTCTTCATATATTCTTTGCCCATATGTAAGTAAAATAGTATTTTTCTTATAAGAAAGAACAAGTAGTCTTTGACTGGTTAATACTTAATATATCCAGAGATTGTCTAATATTTTTCAAAACTAATTCCCAATGAACATAGTGTCTAATGTTTCGACAAATAATAAATCAACTAAATCGGATTTATATTATATACACTATAATTCACCGCTGCAAAAAATGAAAAATTAAGTGCATAAACATATCTGAAAATATCAAATCCGTCCCTACATTATTTTATGGTAAAGCTTCAGGACAAGAAATAAATTTTAGTAAATCATCGGTTATGTTTGGTAAGCGCGTAGCAAACCAAAAAAAAGATCAACTTAAAAACATCCTTGGAATCACTAAGGAAGGTGGCATGGGTACCTATTTGGGTATTCCAGAGAGCTTAGGAGGCTCGAAAAGTAAAATCTTTAATTATGTCCGAGAAAGACTTAATGAATGGATTAATGGCTGGTCAGCTAAATTTTTGTCAAAAGGTGGGAAAGAAACAATGATCAAGTCAGTGGCTTTGGCACTCCCAACCTATGTTATGTCTTGTTTTAAACTCCCTCAAGAGTTAACATCTAAGTTAACAAGTGCTATTTCTAATTATTGGTGGAGCTCTAATGGAAGAGATCGTGGGATCCACTGGATAGCATGGGAGAAAATGTGTAAGGACAAGGAGGAAGGAGGTCTAGGTTTCCATTCCCTCGATACTTTTAATGATGCCATGTTGGCTAAACAGTATTGGTGCTTAATCCAATATCCGAACTCTTTAGTAGCTCGGGTGTTAAAAGGTAGATATTTCAGGAATATTCATCCTTTACATGCAAAAAAACCAAACTCTCCATCGTTTGGATGGAAGAGTATTTTTTCGACTAAAAGACTAGTTACGATGGGAGCTAGATGGTCAATAGGTTCAGGTTTCAACCTATCGGTATGGCGAGATCCTTGGATTCCTGATGTTAATCCACGGCCCGCGAATGGGAGAGGAAAATCATTGCTTCCAAGTTTGATGGTTAACCATTTAATTAATCCGGTTTCTAAAGAATGGCACCTTCCCATTTTACAGGAATATTTGGATCCAGTGGATATTCAGTTTATTAGAGGACTGACTATTAGTCAAGTTTATAAGCCAGATAGGCTTATTTGGCATCATACAAAATCAGGAAGATATACAGTAAGGTCAGGCTATCAGGTTGCTCGAGAGATGACAGAACCGATCGAATGGGGCCCAAGTTATAAATCATTACAAGCACAAGCTTGGAAAATCAAATGCCCTCCAAAAATAAAACATTTCTTATGGCAAATTGCTTCAGGAGCCCTAGCAGTTACTTCAAAATTAGTACATAGAGGGATTCAATGTGATATTATCTGTAAAAGGTGTGAGTTGGCAGAGGAAACAATAAATCATGCTTTATTTGAGTGCTCACATTCTCAGAACATATGGGAGTTATCCACAATCCCTACGGTATCAGGTAGTTTTCCTCTAAGCTCGGAACTTTTAAACCTAGATTATCTTTATTGGAGGCTACCATCTACGTTAGATGGGGGGGAGAAAACCGACCTTTATGCTTGGATCTTGTGGTTCATATGGAAAGATAGGAATAAAAAGGTTTTCAAGGGATTACAATCAGATCCCACAAATATCTTAAATCATGCTTTAAGTGAAAAATCATTGTGGGAAGAAGCTCAGTTAGAACCGATCGAAACTAGTCCCATTACGGAAACTATGGAAAGCCCAGTTCAGACAATAAGATGTCGGATTGATGGCTCTTGGAAAAATTCGGACCCAACTATGGGTATAGGATGGTGGTGTTTTCAAGGAACTGAACAAACGATACTACTCGGTGCAAAGTGCCTGCGGAGATGTCCCTCCCCACTTCACTCGGAGATGGAAGCTTTAATATGGGCTATGAAGAATATCCTTTCAAGAAGGATCGATTGTCAGGCGTTTGAAACAGATTGTTCGGAGTTAGTCTCGATGATACAGTCACCTGATGAATGGCCCGCTTTCTCCAATCTGCTAGATGAGTTTGGTTTACTCCGCGCTTATTTCCCTTTCTTCTCGCTTTCTCTTATTTCTCGTTTATGCAATGTTAAAGCGGACTGCTTATCCCGCTCTTCTAGACTTTTATTCTCTGAAATTTCTTTTGTAGACTCTTTTCCTCCTAATTGGGCAACCAATCTAGGAGTTATATATTAATTAATGTGTGGTTGACAAAAAAAAAAAAAAAAATCTAGTTTTATCCGGTTTGGTTTGATTAAGTTGGTGTAATGGTGTTTATTATTTTCTGTATTTCATTTTGATTGTTGTTTAAGATTGTTGTTACACATAAATTAACTGAAACTCATTTATCTCATACTTTTTTAAAGTAAAACATCATTTATTATCTATATAAAAACAGTTTAACTAATAAAAAAACAAGCTGAAAAATACAAATGTCACAAAAACATAATAATATTTTTCCTAAAGCATCAGTTGATATGATGCGGATGGAATAACTGTTTTTGATGGTATATATGTCTGTCGCTATAACTAACGTAACTATTAACTGGAGATTTGCATAAAAATTAAATCGACTATTATTAGAAATTTTTGTATACATTGCTCTTTTTTTTTAATGATTTCAAAGTGTCATGAACTCAAATAAAAAAATTAATAATTATTATTTCAAAGTGTTTTGAAATGTATTGCTAAAAGTACAAATATTTCTATTCCATATTATGTAGAATAGTGCAGGAAAAATTATAACAATTTCTCCAGATTCAAATATCATCAAAATGATTTTAAAACCTATTAGAACTCATAGAATTTAAAAATATATAATTATAGTATTAAACACATCTCTAAGAGTCCAATTGTTGTCAGTAAAAAACCTTAAAATTTAGTTCTTGTGCTTATGACCCATTAAACAACTTTATGTGTTTTTATTTTGGGGTTTAAATTAAAACCAAATTTAAGTTTAAGCCCTAGTAAAAAGGAAGATCCACCAAAAATGGAGGAACCAAAGAACAAGCCCTTGCCTTTGGGGTTGAACTTATCTAATCAATCACTCAAAAACTGACTTTGTCACATTTCTTGATCTTTTGATGATAACTAAATATACTACAAAACACAAAGAAGTATCCGTTTGTGTGTTTCTCAAAGTTAGACATAAGAAACCGTGTAGATCAAGCAAGGGACTATGAGTCACAAAGTCTCCAAGAAGTTAGACGAGGAGCAAATCAATGAGCTCCGGGAGATTTTCCGGTCATTTGATCGGAACAAAGACGGAAGTTTAACTCAGCTCGAGCTCGGATCACTTCTCCGAGCACTAGGGGTTAAACCAAGTCCAGACCAATTCGAAATGCTTATAGACAAAGCTGACACTAAAAGCAACGGACTCGTCGAGTTCCCGGAGTTTGTGGCTTTAGTCTCACCGGAGCTTCTTTCGGCGGCCAAGAGGACAACTCCTTACACGGAGGAGCAGCTCCTCCGATTGTTTAGGATATTCGACACCGACGGAAACGGGTTTCTAACTGCGGCGGAATTGGCTCACTCTATGGCTAAGCTTGGCCACGCCTTGACGGTTGCGGAATTGACGGGGATGATTAAGGAGGCGGATAGCGACGGCGATGGCCGGATTAATTTTCAAGAGTTCGCTAAGGCTATCAACTCTGCTGCATTTGATGATTTATGGGGTTGAGTTTTCACTGGAGTGACTGGACTCTTCCATTATTTTCCCTTTTAACCTCTTTTTTTAGTTTCTATGTTTAGTTTTCACTATTCTACAAGAAAATTATATCCTTAAATTCAAAATATTTACTCAAGTCGAAATTCCGATTTATTTTTTGTTTATTTTAGATTCTTGACAACAATTTTGTTTTTTGAAATAAACATGCCTCATTGTGATTTCATATGGTCGACTTAAACAACGTTGAAACTTGAATTTATACTAGTAATGATACTGATGTATAGTAATGATCAGGTTCAAACTTTTTATTACAATCTCTCAATGTAAATGAAACTTTATTTAAGCGTTAATAAAAGAAAAAGACATTGTCATGTTTTCTACATACTTGTTTCCGAATCTATCCACTATCACACCAGTTTCTGCAATTAAAAGTTAAAAAAGAGAGAGGCTCAATTATGTCGAGAGAAAGATTAGAACTTAGATGGGATTTTGCTGCTTCATCTTTCATCTCTGTGCTATCCACTGCAAAATGTCTTTCCTGATTACACCATCAAACCTGCCACCTGTAACATAGCTCGGTTGAATAAGACTTCCGGCTAGACCGCCACTGTAATGTCTGTACTGAGTCGTAGTTCCATTGGGTCTCGGTGGTTGGATCATCATAGAGACAGACGGGAATGGCTTGTGCCGGAAATGATTCAGTGAGGAGAACAAGTGCCTACCGGACTCACGGTTTTGAGGAGTCTGCGTCGTGTTCGTGTGCGATTTTGGCTGGGACAATTCCGTTAGTCTCTTTGCCTTGCCCATGTTCGAATTGCTGTTATGTGGTAGTTCTGGTCGAGTACGTATCTGAGCTGCTGGTTTCATCCGATCAAGCCAACGGAGAATCCAGTTTCCAAGATTCCTACCAACTTCTATGTCTCTTTCTTGTATGTTCTTGTGAACCGAAATCGCCACATCGAAGATTTTACGAGTCCTCCTGAACCAAAACAAGAAGAATGCAGAAGAGAACGAGAGCAAAGTCAATGCATAACCCAAACAAATAAAGCTAAGCTTCTATCAAATCTCACAAAGCACAATCATGGAGAAGAAACAACATGAATCACTAGAGTTTCTATGTGAATTCAACGATTCGTAACCATCAATCACAACACTGCTACAATTGCTAACGATCAAACAAAAACGAGAGCAAGAATCGATTTCAATCATCAAGGTTCATAGATCGGTTAAAGCCAACGATTCGAAATCATAAACCGAATCAGCAATTTCAACAACAGAAAAACCTAATTTCTCAAATGCGATTTCGTTTCCAACAACACATACATCAGAATCAACCAAAATCGAAACGATCTAGATTAGAAATCTCACCGATGAAGAAAATGGCGGATTTTGGGATGTTTCGGACTAACAATCCGACGCTGGATCTTCAAAGCGAGCCTATAAGTCCGTCTCAGTCCCAAGAAGTAAGCTGTTCCTAGAGTTATCTCCCAAAACACCATCTTCCTTCTAAAACCTTCTTCTTCGGCGGCTACACGGTTATCGGATGATCGCCATTTTCGTCAGTCACTGACCTTTCTGGTTAATAGTGATGCAATCCTCACCGTCTATTTTACTTGTTCGAAGGAAGTCATATTGGGCCCTTAAATGGGCCAATTTAACGGAGTAGATATATGGGCTGCATTAAACAGAACCAATCTTATTAAAATGTTTTTTTTTTTCTTCAACAACCAATCTTATGAATTTTTTTAGCTTACAAAAGGATATAGGGACCTCAATTAGATCATTATCTTGGAATACAACGATTCTATACCATTAAAACACACCAGTAGAATCGCATACAATTGGCCCATTTTGATTAAATAAACATAGATGGGCCGAATCTTATTTAAAATGTTTCTAATAACGAAACTTATGAAAGTCTCATTAAAAAGATCGTCCATAGTTTAAATTTACATGGATTGTTGGAACTAATTTGAAATCTTACGCGTAAGCTTAGACTTAGACCTCAGGAGATGACTACGGAAACTACCGAAATAAAATCTAATTTACAAGAAATTTTGATGATTCTAATAAAATCATAAAAAGTAAAATCATAAAAGATTCTAAACTATTGGCAGAGAGTTTTCTATAATATTGTTGATTTGCTTTTTCATAACCTTGTAAAGTTTTTCAAACAATTTTTCTATTTTCATGTTATTTTTCATAATTTTATGTTGTGAAAAAAATGTAGAAAGTCATAAACCAATAACATAATAATTTAATACATTAACAATTCTAGATTCTTTTGTTTTAATTGAATAACACAAAACTTTTAATGACTTTATAAAAGTATGAATCTAATAATTCCAGATTTATGATGATTATTTTAGATTACTTTTTACAAATCTTAAATTAATAACACCAAACTTTAACAAACTTAAAAAAAATCTTGATTGAATAACAACAGATTCTACATAACATTTAAAATCACTAAAACTCTATTTAAATCACAAATCAATAACACCTCCTAAATGATAGATCAACTTCTATATAATCTAGGAAAATAATTTTTCAAACATATAGACTAAATCAAACCCTACAAAATGTACTTCGTTTGAGTTTTTTTTTTCACTTGAAAAAATCAGAGGCCAACAACGTTCATAAATTTCGAAAAAAATACTACTGATTGTTACTTTGTTTTCACAAATCTTTCTCTTAAGATGGAGGACAAATGCAGCCCAGGATACTGTTTATGTTGGCCTTGTACTTGTCTGATAAATTTCTGTTTATCACTGTTCTTTTTCATCTGCTTTGCGTCATTCATTGCTTGGATCATGATCAGATCCAACGACGTGAAATTTCAAGTCTATGACGCAGAGCTGACACATTTCAATCTCGAAAGCAACAACAACCTCCATTACAATCTCACTTTGAGTCTCTCCATCCGGAACTCGAAGAGTAGTATCGAAATCCATTCCGACCAGTTTGAAGCAAACGTTTACTACATGAATCAGTGGTTAGGAGCGGTTCCCATGCCGTCGTTCTACTTGGGAAGCAAAAACACGACACTTCTCAGAGCATTGTTTGAAGGCAAAACTCCAGTTTTACTAGACGGTGATGGACGCAAAAAGTTTGAAGATGATCGGAACACTGGGGTTTACAGAATCGACGTGAAGCTGAGTATTAATTTTAGGGTTATGGTTTTGCATTTAGTAACGTGGCCGATGAAACCAATTGTACGTTGTTATCTCAAAGTACCATTAGCATTAGGTTCCTCTAACTCAACAGGAAGGTTTGATTACCAGTCAACAAAGTGCCATGTCGGCTTCTGAAGTTTTAACCTTTTTTTGTGTGTGGATATGGAATAATATTTTTTTTATATAACCCTAGTGTTATACGTTTTTGGTTTTGATTTTGTGGTTGTGTACTTTTTTTACTAAAAACCAAAGATGAAAGAAACAAGGATAGTCTTCTCAAACAATCCTTATGGAAATTTTTTTAAAAATCGATGAAGAGGAATTAATAAAATAATTGACTCCAAACTAATTTTAATTAGTGATTTCAGAACATGGCCTAAAACCGGCCCAATACGACCCGAACAAATTGAGCGAAAGTAAACGGTTAATTAATTTTGTTTAAGTCAATATAGTTTTACGTTCAAAAGTTAATAGTTTGAATAGTAAATTTGAATTATTTTGGCGTTAAGGTAAATAAAAGCATTGTATATTTGTTAACGTATAAAAACGCACTTTGCAATTTGTTCAAAGTGAAAGACGTCATTTTTCCCATATTTTTCCCTTCTTCCTCGAACTCAAATCATTCCCTTTTTTCGGGTTGGTTTTGGTTTGGTTTTTCCGTACTTAGTATTTTGACCAGACCCAATTTAGACCAAGTGTCTTCCAATCCTCCACGTATCTTTAATGACACAAATAAAAATTCGTATTTGTCCTCCTCGTAGTCATTCCTTAGAAGCAATTTCAAATCTTTTTGTTTTGTTTTCCAATCCAACATAACCCAGAAATCAAAGAACAACCTTTTGCAGATTCTTCACCAGTAACTTCAATTTTGCTTCACGTTCTCGAAAAATATGAGCTTTCAGGATTTGGAAGCGGGAAGCCATTGAAACCACCACAAAGGAATTTGATCAACGGAAAGAGAGATGGAACACAAGCGGTGGCTTCAGGTATTTTTCAGATCAACACGGCGGTATCTACGTTCCAACGACTTGTTAATACTCTCGGTACGCCTAAAGATACGCCAGAGCTTCCTGATAAGCTGTGAGTTTTATTGTTTATGTTTTTCTTTGAGTTCATGCATTTGATCTCAGTTTAACTTAAGTGTAGAAATTGCGAAATCATGCCTTAATTATTTAAAGTTCTAAAATTACCCTTTCTAATTACAATTCATACTTAATTGGTCAAAATGTATTTTTTCCTTTTAAAAATATAAACTTACATATTGTTGGAATATTAAAATTTTAGCTAACGCGTGACTATTTCATATTTTTCCTTTTTTTTTTTAATTTGCCACCTTTCATATATCCATTTTTTAGCTAGATTTCGGATTATTTTGTAAGCCAAATATGGAAAACAAAAGTAAGAAAGTAAATTCTTCTTATACAAAAAAAAAGAAGGAAAAAAACAATCACAGGCCGACGACGTTTATAAATAAGAAACTAGCTAGTCTCTGTTACTTGTTCATTCACAGATCTTTCCTCTTAAGACAGGGCCTAGGTCTTCTAAGGAACACATGGCGGACAAACACAACCTTCCATGTTGGATACGTTGTCCCGTGAATGTGATCAGTTTCTTTATAACACTGGCCCTTTTCGTCTGCTTCGCGTCACTGATTGTTTGGATTATGCTTCGATCCAATGCCGTGAAATTCCAAATCCACAAAGCACAACTGACACAATTCAACCTTGACCTCGAAAACAACAATCTCAATTACAATTTCTCTTTGAATTTCTCCATCCGAAACTCGAAGAATAGTCTCGGAATCCACTACGACCGGTTTGAAGCCATGGTTTACTACAGCGATCAGCGACTAGGAGCGGTTTCCGTGCCGTCGTTCTACCAAGGACACAAGAACACAACGGTTCTCGTAGCATTGTTCCAAGGCCAAAGTCTAGTTTTACTCGACCGTAATGGACGCAAAAAGTTTGAAGATGATTGGAAGATTGGGGTTTATAGACTAGACGTGAAGCTGAAGATTAGTTTTAGGGTTATGATTTTGCATTTAGTGACGTGGCCGATGAAACCAATTGTACGGTGTCATCTTAAGGTACCATTAAGTTCCTCTATCTCACCCGGAGGGTTTGACTTTCAGTCAACCAAGTGCCACGTTGCTTTTTGAGATTTTTTGTTTTTGTTTTGGAATACGTTTTTGGTCTGTAATTTCATTAAACAACCAAAGAAACGAAGATAGTTTTATTATAAAATCCTTTTTACGATTTAAATTAATTTCATAAGAGAGATAAATACTTCGAAATCGATGAGCAAGAGGAAGAAATTAAAATCGATACAATTTACTTTTAAAATATTAATTTAAAACAGGAAATCTATAAGCGGTAACCACAGAAGAATGACAAATTAAGTGAGAGTTCTGACAACTTTTTCTACAGTGTTTGGGTACATGAATTTACTCTATACCCCTTTTCTTTTTATAAGAATTACTTTTTACTTTATTTTATTTCTTAACTTCATCTCCTTCAATATTGAACATCAATGTCGGTGATTGTTGGAGCAAACAACAACGATCTTCTTCATCATCCCCGGCTAAGAAGAAGTGGAGGACTCATGTGATGGGAGCACCGAGCTCCGACGACTTCCGTATATATCTCGATAACCCTTCATCGGAATATTCCATAACTGGAACCGTGTGGCAAACACCGTCACGTAACATCTCTGTGAATCGTAGGTCTCGTTCCACTTCATTTTAGTATCTCGATCCAACTATTTTAATTAATTTTGATGAAATTTGACTAATTTTGTGGGTCGGTTCTTAATTGAAGCATTGGAACCCAGCAATTTTGATTATCATTTTTGTATCTATATGTTTTTATTTGTTTATTAATATATTATCATGTTTCAAACACATAAAACTCGTTACACAAAATTTTATCGTTTTATTAAATTTTGTATCTCGTTAATATTTTATATAGCATGGTTATATATATTGTATTGTACTAAATATTAATTTATCGATATACAATTTATTTTACCGCGTTAATACTACTGTTATCGTTATCATTATATGTAATATATTTATGATATTTTATATCATATTAATTATTTAAGAGAAATTTTAAAAAAGCATTAATTGATAATTTTAAATTAATAATTTACAGTATATTGTTAGATATAATAACTAGTTTAACACGATAACTATGCATATAACACGTAATAGTGAACTTATCACGACACTATATTATTTATCAGGTAATAAAATAGTTATCCACACAAATCACAGAATGTTTTACACTATCTTATGATGAACAGTATCATCAACTTCCGAATGAACAGAGTAATTGACGTCAGAATGAACAGTATCGACGAAAAACTGAAATAGTAAAACAATTTTTAATTCAATGGCATTTTTGTAATTAATCAAAAGAAGAAGGATATTTTTGGTTTGTAGTTTCTTTATCTTTCATAATTACTTAATTTTGAAATTATCATGTCCTGAAATCTAATTTTTTTGTCAACCGTGTATAAAGATTTAATTCACCCTTTAAAACAACTAACTTTTCGAATATGGCCCAATAACGGCCTAATACGACTTTAGACGGCCCAGATTAAACGCATGTTCTTTACTTATTTCACTCCCTCCACGTGTCTTTTACGACAAAACAGAGTAAGCCAAAACCAAAACTGTTTCTCAACAAATTAATTAAAAAATCATTCATCTCCTCTCCTCACCTCCTTCAGAAGCAAAGTTCGAATTTTGTGTGTTTGCTTCTTCTTCTTCAAACGTAACCCAGAAATCGTTTGCAGATTCTCATCGATTAATTCTTAATTTCTCTCCTTAACCCTTCAATTTCGGTCTATAAAAAGATGAGCTTTCAGGATTTGGAAGCAGGGAAGCCATTGAAACTACCGCAAAGGAATTTGATCAACGGCAAAAAAGATGGGACACAAGCGGTGGCTTCAGGTATCTTTCAGATCAACACGGCGGTTTCTACTTTCCAGCGACTTGTTAATATTCTCGGTACGCCTAAAGATACGCCCGAGCTTCGTGATAAGCTGTGAGTTTTTTCCTTTGGAATCATGCATTTGGTCTCACTATAACTTAGGTTGACATTGCGAAATCATGCCTTAATTAATTAGGGTTTTGTGAAATGAGTCCTGTTTTTTCATGTTTGCATGTTTTGTCCTCTAAAGTTTTAATCTTTTTGTATGTGTTGTTCTATGTTGTTGGCTTAGTTCTCTGTTTGATTGATCAGGCACAAGACAAGATTACATATTGGGCAATTGGTAAAAGATACTTCTGCAAAACTTAGGGAAGCTAGTGAAACCGATCATGGTAAAGATGTTGCTGTAAGTGTTTTTTTTTTCTTTCAAGATGAATGACTTAGAAAGATGGGAGATTTGTGTTGTTTATTGTAGTTTCTTCTATTGATGGTGAATTGGTATTTGGTGCAGCAAAGTAAAAAGATTGCAGATGCTAAACTTGCAAAGGATTTTGAAGCAGTGTTGAAAGAGTATCAGAAGGCACAGCATATTGCAGCTGAAAGAGAAACTTCTTACACTCCTTTTGATCCAAAAGCCAACCTTTCTTCAAGGTATTGAAAAAAAATACGTTCACTTCAACAGTAGCGATAATCACTATGTTTTTTGTATCATCGAGTTCGATATCAGAACCTCTACAACCGTCAGAAGCAAATTAGTTGTTGACCTTTAGTCTATTATACTTGTAGTTTTCTTGATTTGGTTGTTCTTCTTATAGTCGGCTTGAAGTTAGTTATTACTGATGTTTTTGTTTTCATATATATCAGTGAGGTAGAGATTGGCTATGATAGATCACAAGAGCAGCGTGTCCTCATGGAATCTAGGAGGTAAATAAGTTCTATGCGTCATATGTCTGTAAATAACTACCATGTTCATGCTTGTGACTTCTCTTTCTTCATTTGAAGGCAAGAAGTTGTGTTGCTTGACAACGAAATTTCCTTCAACGAAGCGGTGATTGAGGAAAGAGAACAGGGAATACAGGAAGTTGAGCACCAAATCGGTGAAGTAAACGATATTTTCAAAGATCTTGCGGTGTTGGTTAACTATCAAGGAGACATAATCGGTAAGTCTCTGAAGCGAAAAAAATAACAACAGTCAAGACCTAGAATGCTTTGATTCCAATTCTCAATCCTCTTAAAATGTATTTTATTACAGATGATATAGGTAGCCATATCGACAATGCACATTCAGCAACAGCTCAGGGAAAGTCCCATCTCGTGAAAGCCTCCAAGACACAACGATCAAACTCATCCCTGGTAAGAGAATAATCTGTTATTGGTTCACTAAGTTGTTTCCATGTTCCTTACTTCTCCTTTTCTGGTGATTATGCAGATGTGCTTGCTAATGGTGATATTCGGGATCGTTCTTCTCATCGTTATCATAGTACTCGCAGCTTGAGATGGCAAGAAACACAATCGTGGTCGTACATTCAAGAGAAGTCCGGTTTTTGGACATAGAAGTCTGAGTGTGCGAAGCCATACTTGTGTCTGTATATTCACTCTTGTTGGTGCCGTATGGTTTGGTTTGACCAAATTGTAGTTCGTTTCCGTTAGGTCCAGAGAAAAATAACCAAAGACTAGTGGTTCTGACTATGTATAACCTTATTTCATTTTCACTATACACAAGTGACAAGACTTCAGAAACATATTTATATCAATTATACAAATAGTTTTTGATTTAGATAAATAATTATAGTTTTTCTCTTAATTTCATTATATTAAAAATATATTCAATTATATGATACATTCATCTAACATAGTATATGTGTGTTTTATGTGTTAAAAGTATGTTTATGGTTTCGATTATTAAAGTCAACAAAAAAATGATGTAAAAATATAATGTAAAGTCAAACTTGAAGTTTTAAATGTCGGTATATTGTTTATAGATTTTGTTGATTTTTTTCTATAAATAAGGATATCCCAATCCTACTATTCATACAATACATATCCTTAAATAATAATTTATCTATGTAAATTGATGTACTACCAAAATAAGCAAAACGTAATAATCTCATTTCTATATATAAGATATCTTACATATATGTGTAAGATGGTGAGAGAACAAGAGAGTGAGATAAAAAAAAAAAATGGACAAGCACATCTTTTGTCAATTCTTAGTCCTAATGATGTTAATGTCATCATCCCAAATTCAGGGAGAGTTGAGGAAAGGATGTTATGATTCAGGCATCACAGTTTTGATGGGTTGTCCTGATTCGATTGACAAGAAACTTCCAGCTCCTCCGACACCATCCGAAGGTTGTTGCACTCTTGTCCGAACCATTGGAATGAAATGTGTATGTGAAATCGTCAATAAGAAAATCGAAGACACCATTGATATGCAAAAGCTCGTCAATGTCGCCGCAGCTTGTGCTCGTCCTCTTGCTCCTGGTTCACAATGCGGAAGTAAGTCTTGTTTTTTTTAATTTTCATTCATCCACTAATCAGGAATCTAAGACTAGTTGTGCTTCTTCTTTTTCCAGGTTACAGAGTTCCTGGTGCATGATATGGGATCGATGCGAATATGCAAAATCTAATGTCAATTTCTTTGTTTACAAAATAAGTGCATAAAGATGCAAGAGTAATATGATAACCGATCCTATTTTCTATATGATTGTTTTGTTGGTGTTGCTTGGTCAATTAGTCATTATTGTTAAAATATGTTGCCAAAAACATATTTTCGCAAATCAAAACAAATTTTATTTTTAAAAGAACCATACGTTACAAACTTACAAACTTACAAATTACAAATGCAATAACGGTTATAAAATCTGAAACAAAAGAACCATACGTTACAAACTTGACTGTTGAAACTTTTAAATGTAGAAAAAATCCTTACAACATCACACCAATCACTCCCATTGATCATCCCGGCCCAAAGAAAACTAGGACTTTTGGTGAATTTTTTTTTATTTTGGCCTATTATCAATTAATTTTCAAAAATGTGTGGTATTTTATTAATCAAAGTCTTATTTTAAAAAATTTCGGCCTTATCACTTTTTAAAAAATTGGTATTTGAGGCACAAATTTTGGGCTAATTATCATTTTTTAAAAATATAGGCTTTTTTATGTGTAAAGTTTTATGAAATAAAAGTTTTCGACACATGTCCCTAATGCGGGCCGGGCCGGGTCTTGCTAACCAAAAAAAAAAAAAATTATCTAATAGGTAATTAGGGAATCCTGAACCCGTTCACGATCTTTTCCCTTACTTGTTAGAATATATTTTTTGGGTTCGAATGAATAACTTTAACATTTGAATTTTGTTTCATAACAAGTATCTTTTTTAGGTTTTCAATGCACATATTTGATAAGAAATTCCAGTTTTTCTCTTAATTTTAATTTCTTGACCAATAAACAAATAATAAAATATATTAATAAGGAGCAAAATAGAACATTTATATGTTTTCTTAATTTGTTTGGAAAAACCTTAAACTACACATAATTTGAAATACAGAGAATATAATTTTTCATTAATTCCCTTACTTTTTGGAAACGGAAAATTATAGTTATTTGTTCGAAACCAAAAAAATAATTATTTCCGAATTTCAAAATTTGGGACAGAAATGAAAAAAAGGGTTATCGTTCTGAAATGAACATACCTAACTATTAGAAGATACGAAAAGTAGCCAAACAAGAAACCACATACGGCCCCTATTTTGTTTTTTTTAATAAACTCTATCGGATGATATGGTTAGCTTCGGTAGAAATGCACTGAAGTGTTTCATAGTGAATGTCTCTCCGAAAGGCTATCACATTGTCTGTCCTAAGTTTGAAATGTTTCAATGTATATGGTGTGTTTATGGTGTGTTTATGGTGTGTAAACGACGATGAGCAGAGATGTTTATGGTGTGTTTCAATTTCAGAATATTGTAGCCAAACAAGAAACCATCTTATTATTTTACCCATAAAACCCCGGAAATTAATGGAGGTTTACACACCTAAATTTCTAAAAAGAAATTTGTATTTTTAAGGCACATATGTTTATGGCAAAAGTTCAATTTCAGAAGATAATAGCCAAACGAGAAACCGTGTTAGTATTTCCTCGTTATATAACCAATGAGAACCCCGAACAATTAATACTGGTCTACAAAAGGCTCCTAATTTTTTTATTAAGTCGTACTTTATAAGGCTTAGACGAGATATTTATGGCAATTCAAATCTCATCGTATCATTTTCTAAAGAGTAACTATGCTATGTAAAATTACCCCTAAAATCTAGGTCCAGCGTCCACAGAAGTTCTCTGAATTTCATTTAATGATTTGATTTCTTTTGATTTTGTAAAATTATTTGAGAATGTGATGTTATCGTACAATAAATACCACAAAATGCTCATATTACAGGTCGCTCTTAATTCTATTTAATATTATTACATGTGATGGTACATATTGAACCTATAATAAGTAATATATAAATGAGAGTATGATGAAACATTTCCCTTGCAATTTGTTTTGAAAAGTTTCTTACGAAATGGCATTTTGGTTAAGTTTGATATTTTTCTTTTGCTTTTTCACATTTGCTTCCTCAACTCCACCGGATGATCCGGTCAAGTGTGAGTCAGGAAACAACATGTGCACTGTGACGAACTCGTACGGAGCCTTCCCCGACCGTTCTATATGTGAAGCGGCAAAGGTGGAGTACCCTAAGACCGAGGCTGAGTTAGTCTCTATAGTGGCTGCAGCCACTAGAGCCGGCCAAAAAATGCGGGTCGTGACTCGGTACTCTCACAGCATCCCAAAGCTCGTTTGCACTGACGGAAAGGACGGGGTTCTCATAAGCACCAAGTTTTTAAACAACGTGGTGGGAACCAACCCCGAAGCCAAGACTTTGACAGTTGAGAGCGGCGTGACGCTAAGGCAGCTGATCGGAGAAGCCGCTGAGTTGGAGCTCGCTTTACCATACGCACCGTATTGGTGGGGACTCACGGTTGGAGGATTGATGGGGACGGGTGCTCACGGAAGCTCGTTGTGGGGTAAAGGAAGTGCGGTTCATGATTATGTGAGCGAGATAAGAATGGTGAGTCCCGGTTTGGCTTCTGATGGGTATGTAAAGGTTCGGGTTCTTAGCGAGACTATGGATCCTGATGAATTTTGTGCGGCCAAAGTTTCTCTAGGCGTTCTAGGTGTTATCTCTCAAGTAACTTTCCAGTTGCAACCGATGTTCAAGAGATCGTTGACGTATGTTATGCAAAACGATTCGGATTTCGGAGATCAAGCCGTGACTTTTGGGGAAAAACATGAGTTTGCAGATTTCTTATGGTTACCGAGCCAAGGCAAGGTGGTGTATCGAATGGACGACCGAGTTCCTCTCAACACTTCAGGCAATGGCTTGTTCGACTTTTTCCCATTCCGTCCACAACTCTCTGTAGCGTTAGCCATCATTAGATCCTTAGGTAAAAAAAGTTCTTTCTTTCTGAAGATAACTAAGTACTAAATATATATATGATTTGCATAGTTATAATGTTTCTTATAAACCTTTGCTTCATGATATGAAGAGGAGAGTGAAGAGTCATCCGGAGATGCAAACAAGAAGTGTGTGAGAGCAGAGCAATTATCGTCGTTTTTGTTTTCAATCTCATACGGTGTGACTAACAATGGTAACAAAATTCATTCACTTATGTATCTTTCTATTGTTTCCATATGTGTGAGACTTTACAATTTTCTACTACATATTCACTTGTAATGTTCACGGGCAGGTATGGAATTCACAGGCTATCCGGTAATCGGAAAGCAAAACCGTATGATGTCGTCGGGTACATGTCTAGACAGCCATTGGGACGGACTGATCACTTCTTGTCCGTGGGATCCACGGATAAAAGGCCAATTCTTTCACCAAACAGCATTCAGTGTTCCACTCACACGTGTCAAAGGTTTCATCGACGACATCAAAGCACTCGTAAAGATTGAACCGAAAGCTCTCTGCGTCCTTGAACGCAGCAATGGTATTCTCATCCGTTATGTCACATCCTCTCCTGCTTTTCTTGGGAAAGAGGAAAAAGCTTTAGACTTTGACCTAACTTACTACCGAAGCAAAGATGATCCCTTGACACCGCGTCTCTACGAGGATTTCATCGAAGAAATCGAACAAATGGCGATATTTAAATACAACGCGCTGCCACATTGGGGGAAGAATAGGAACCTAGCTTTTGATGGCGCGATTAGAAAGTACAAGAACGCAAACGCGTTTTTGAAAGTAAAAGAGAGATTTGATCCATTAGGGCTGTTTTCGACAGAATGGACCGATCAAATTCTAGGTTTAAAAGGAAACGTTACGATTGTGAAAGAAGGATGTGCACTTGAAGGACTGTGTGTTTGTTCGGATGATGCTCATTGTGCTCCCAACAAAGGTTATTTGTGTCGACCAGGTAAAGTTTATACAAATGCTAGAGTTTGTACTCGAGTATAAACGCCTAAGATAATCATACAAAATTTTAATAATACTGATGTTTAATCGCATTTTATCCTTAATTAATCAATGATTATTCTATCCAAACGTATTGTCTCTCTCTCTCTCTGCATTTCGTATATGAGAATTGAGAAAAACAAAACAGTGTCTTCTTTGTTCATTATGAGTTTATGACAAGCGAAACGATGTCGTATTGGATGTTGCGTGGATTATTGACACGTGTAAAGTGTTAATCCCAAATTCAGTGTACAAGAATAACTTTGGTTTAATTTGACTGGGTTTATATGGTTAGTAAGAATCGGTTTAGCAATTTCCAAATTGGATCGAGTTTGGTTTAATCGGCTTAAAGATCGTTGATCCCAAATTTCTCTGAAGTGATGAACGGCGCATCACCGGCTCATTCTTTGGTTTCGACGACCGCCGTAGCTGGTGGCGGTGGAAGCAGTGGCGCCGCCGCTGGTCTAGACGATTTCCATTTTCCACCGGATATTCCCTCTATGCAAGAGCGAAAAGACGAAGCTATGCGTGGTCAGTTCTTTATGATTTCGAATCTTAGGGTTTCCAATTCCTCGCTAAATTAGGGAATTTCTATAACATTTGGTAATCGAATTTCTCAGTGATTAGACATTTGAGTATCACATCTCCAGATTTAGGGTTTTCGATACTAAGTATGTGTTTTAGTGTCAAATCTCCATTGTTATGGTTGCTATGTGGAAATCAGAAATCTCAATTTTGTAGTTGTTCTTCGAGATATAAATGTAACTTCTTTAGATGATTTGGTATTGCTAATTAATTACTCAGAAATGATTAGGGGTTTTAGTAGATTAAGAAAAAAACTTTGCGTTCAAGTGTTTGTTTGAGAAAGATCATGTAATGCCATAATGGATTTGTTTTTGTTTTATAATGGTGTAGTTTTGAAAGCTGATTTGATGGCTGAACTTGACAAAGAGGTTAAATCTTTGGAAGAAGATAGTTGGATGTTCGAAGGTACTCGTTCTCGAATCCATCTTATATCAAGAAGAGGTTAGTTTCTTCTTCTTCTTCTGATTCTTAGTCGATCCGGTTTTCGTGTATGGCACAAAGCTGTTTTCATGTAGACAATTTTAGAAACTGTGTACACCAATCTTGAATGTTTAAGTATAAAGCCTTTTTTTCTTCTTTCAATAAGTGTTAATAGCAGTAATCATCCCCAATGGTTCAAAATTTCATATATTGGCTATTCTCTAGATCAGGACAAATCAATAGGATGAGACGATTTGATAGAATCTGTGGGATAGGATGAGACGATTTGATAGATTCTGCGGGTTTTTTGTGTGTTTCTTTTGGTGTTTCATCATCACTATGACACTCTACTGAACCATATTTGTGATAAAATGGGTTTTTGATTAGCTAACTTACTAAAGAAAGAAGGTGGAGCTGTGGTGAAATCAAGCTTTGTTCAGCTTCTCAGATGATCGGATTCAAGTAAGAAAATTCAGAAATGGTTGTATAAGCTTTATTTCGTGGTCGTCACAAATGTCACTAAAACGTTGACTTTATTTTTTCCCATTTTAAGGGACAAAATAGCTTTTTTCAATGGTGTTAATAATTTTATACAAGTGAAGGAAATCATTATTCGTTTAATGAGTCTATTAACAACACTAAAATGAGATTTAGTAATTATATTTCAATATTCTCAAGAATATAGATAATCAACTTTCATCAAAGAGTTTTTTCTTAGTTTGATATTTTTAGAGAATAATTAATTTAAAACTCAAATATTTTTTTTTGTCTAACTAGTTCCTTTAAAAAAATTAGGTTATTATCATCTTCCCAACTATAACAAAGATTCTACTATATGTATGGAAAAAATTATAAAGTACATAAAGGTATTATTAAAGGTAAATCCAAAAACTTGTTTTACCTATTTTTATCAGAAGCAATTGATCACCATCACCTGAAAACCACAAATTGCTTGAGTTTGTTAAAACTGGCTCTGACAAGTGTCATACAAGTGATCCCATTTGCCACGTGTCATGTCCTTTTTATGTAACCTAGGACTTGAAAACCACAAGTGCAAATAACCTAGATGACACTTGTTAGAGAGCGACGTCACCAAGAACCTCTCACACTCTCTATTCCACCACTTCTTTACCACCGCACGGCCTTCTCCGTCGCATCTTCTTCATCGTCAAGCCCTGACTCATCGCCGGTTGAAACCATAAACGATCTCGAGAAACTCGCCGTTTTAGGACAAGGAAGCGGTGGGACAGTCTACAAAACCCGTCACCGGAGAACCAAAACACTCTACGCGTTAAAAGTCCTTAGGTCAAATCTCAACACCACGACGACGACAACCACCGCCGTGGAAGTAGACATTCTCAAGCGAATCAAATCCAGCTTTATTGTCAAATGCTACGCTGTTTTCCTTAATTCATCCGATCTCTGTTTCGTGATGGAGCTAATGGAGAAAGGATCTCTCCACGACGCGTTGCTTGCTCAACAAGTTTTCACCGAGCCAATGATATCGACTCTCGCTAACAGAATCCTCCAAGGGTTACGTTATCTGCAAGAAATGAGAATAGTTCATGGAGACATAAAGCCTTCAAATCTCCTTATCAATAATAAAGGAGAGGTCAAGATTGCAGATTTTGGTGCGAGCAGGATTGTAGCCGGAGGAGACTATGGATCCAATGGTACATGTGCTTATATGAGTCCTGAACGTGTGGATCCAGAGAAATGGGGTTTTGGAGGAGAAGTTGGATTTGCAGGAGATGTGTGGTCATTAGGAGTTGTGGTTCTTGAGTGTTACATTGGAAGATATCCATTGACCAAAGTTGGGGATAAACCGGATTGGGCGGCTTTGATTTGTGCGATTTGCTGCAATGAGAAGGTGGAGATTCCGGTGAGTGGTTCGCCGGAGTTTAGAGATTTTGTTGGGAGATGTTTGGAGAAGGATTGGAGGAAGAGAGGCACTGTGGAAGAGCTTCTTCGTCATTCTTTTGTGAAAAACAGATAGCAGTAGTCTCGGTTTGGTTTTCACTTTTCAGGATTGAGAAAAACTAGTCATATAATAAACTAAAAACCGAACTTTAATTTCAGTTTGGTCCGGTTTAGTTTGAGATTTTTTGGTTTGGTTCGAGTTCAGTTTTGAAATTTTTTCAAAATAAGATAAACTAATCAATTTTAGTTAATTAGACTCGGTGCACAAAAAAAAAAAAAGTTAATTAGACTCATAGATTAAAATACTTAATTTTAAGGGAGAGTTACTAGATTATCCCAAATTTTAAGTTAAATTACTAGATTGACTCACAAATAATTAGGGTTAAATAAGTTATTTTCATGCCTAAAATATCCTTGTCTCATGTGTAAAAAAAAAAAAAAAATACCCTTCATAAAAAATCCCAACAATATCAGAATAATCTGCTATTTAGTTGTGACAGATTAATTTATAAATTGCAGACTTATTTGTTTGTGATAGATTTTTTAGAATATGGTTACGACAGACTTACCGAATTTTAGCAGACAGACTTACCGAATTTTAGCAGATTTGTTTTTCTTGACAGATTTTTTTTCATTCAACCACAGACTTTAATAAATTGTGACAGACTTATTGTAATGTCTGACTGATTTAATTTGTAAGAAGCGGCAGATTTATTATTTTCGAAAAAAACTGTCATGTTGTAACAGATTTGCTGACTAAAAATTAATAACTAGATTGACGTCTAATGGTAGCAGATTTGTTATATGTTATGACAGATTTTTATAATGTTACCATGAATCTGTCGTGTTACAACATATTTGTTTTTCATAATATAATCTTTTATGTTATGATAAAGTTGTTTTATGTTACGACTGATTAAATTATATTACCACAAATTTGTCGTTTGATGGCAGATTTGTTAAAGTAAAAAAAAATTGCTGGAATGACCTTTATAATTTTGTATGTTACGACAGATTTGTAATTATGAACCCCTTTGATAACAATATTTTTTACACAATTTGTGTTAGTCTAGTTATCCATTACTAATGGAAGTCATTTTAGTTATTATTGCCCAGTTTTGAGTCAATCTGGATAATTTTCAGTTATTTTAATCAGGGTTTATGAAGGATTAATAGTGGCAAAAAAAGAGAACATATGGACAATTCTGTTGACTTTATAAGTTCACATTGCTCATCTTCACGGGAAATAAGCTCAAAATTCAACAAGACATTGAAACATGACACATTCTCATCTTGATATTGTGTAAAATTGAGAGTTGAATGTTATACAAGTTTGATATAAGAAAGAAGAAAGAAATGATCAGTGCGTGAAATGAATATGCTGATCTCTCAGGGACTTCTGTTACCTCAAAAGACTTTTAAAACTCCCAAAATCAAGGATTTTGCCTGAATGAAATAAACATATAAGCAAATATAGTTAAGTTATTAGAGTTTCTCTGATAGATTACTACTAACGTTAATGTTAATTACCTTGAGAGATCTATGGTTTCAGGCGAGAGGAGACCCATCTGTTGAGTCAGATTATCCATCTGTTTAGTTTTGTCCCATCCATTTTGTTTCTGCTCTGTCTCATTGTCCACTGGTGTGAAATCCATATTATCTGGAACCGGGCTTGACATGAGTAAGTCTTCGAGTAATTTGTAATCAACAGGGCCCATATCAGGGTCCATTGGAAAGTCGTCGATGTCAAAGTTGATCAACAGATCTGGGTCTAGTAATGGACTAGAACCTCCCATATTTGGTTCCATGAAATTCTCTGGAGGCTTCTCTGCGTTATTTTCCGGTAGCATATGAGTGAATTCGGGAAGAGTTAGATCATCAGGTGAAGGAATACAGTTCTCGGTTCCTTCTGGTACTGCTGAAACATTTTCAGGAGTTGTTCCAATTGATGGTGATGATGACTGTATCTCAGAAGCTGTTGGCATTTCCTGAAGAGTTATACCTGAGGCGTGGTTTGATGAAGTCTCCATCTCTGTTCCCTCGGTAGTAGAAGTACCATTACCTAGAAGGAAACCATCATCGCCGGTTTTGTAAGGTTCCATCTTCATAAGCTGTTTAAACATTGCTTTGGCTTGCTCGTGCATTGGAGGTTGATACTTCACTATCTGTCCATCAGGAGAAGCAGAATCATTTTTACGGACAATGCCGTCTCGCTTGAATCTCCGCTTCTTATTGGTATCACTGATGCGCCTCTCGTTTTGCTGATTCTGCTGCTGTAAGAATTGAGATAGAAAATGAGGGCTTTGTACTGCCTTTGCAAGGAATGACATTAATTGTTGTTGCCGATTCTCCATGCCCTGGAGACGCTGAACCATCGTTTGAAGTTGGTTATCAGTGGACTGTTGCTGCTGTCTTAATCTGACGAGTTCTTGCATAAGGACGTTCTTATCTCTTTTAAGCCTTTCAACTTCTTCTTCAAGACCAAATTTGCCAACTTCAACACATGCACTAACAGATGAGTTCTGTCCATTCGAGTTCTGAGATTGCGGATGTCCATGTCCATGTCCCTGGGCAGGTTTTCGCCTAGTTATTGTTTTAAGCAAGTGCTTCTGACCTCTTAAGAAACCTTCATTCGCAAATTCCCATCTATCTGGGTCAACCTTCCGGAAACCCTGCATCAAGAAAAGACACGCAAAATGGAATGAGAATGGATTCCACCAAAACAAATGAGAAAGAAGTCGCCCGATAGCTTAAGAATTGCAAATCTAAAAACTTCAACACATAGTCTAACTGCCAACTATTCAGACAGCCATATACAGGAAGTAACAGATCAGTTGGCACATGCTCCGGAGCATTTTTCATTCAGAAGTCAAGTAAATGAAGCAGACCAATCATGGTCAATCTAATATATGAATCATGAAAAGTACTAAATACATGTTCCTATTACAGGTCTAACCTACCACCAAAACCAGAGGAAAAACCAAAGTATCTAATAGGGATAATTGAAAACTATGAGAGTGAAAATTCTCTATGATATACCAGTGTAATCTTTATGTCACGTGTTACAAAAACAGTAACTTAGGAACAATAATATCCACGAATGTAGCAAACAAGAACTGTCAGCAGAAAAATCAAGCTTATTTAAGTGCATTCACCATCTTGCAGCACCAGTAGCATCCTGCTCTAAATATTATGCAGTAAAAGCTCCATTCACCATGACCTTTAGAGGAAAGCTTATATAGTTATCTACTTATATACACAATAAAAGCTCCATCTAGCCTATATGAATAAAAAGTTTTTAATCTAACTGCAACCGTACAGAGCAAACTTATGGTTCCCGCAACTGACATGCCAGATAAAGATTTAAAGTCACACTAATAACAGCACAGATATTCGAACACCAAACACCCATATATCTACTTATGATCTAGTCTCTATTCCAGGCACTACTGATCACATTGGCCTGTTTAGCTTTTCAAAGACGTACTGTCTCCACTTGACCTTGACTCATCTACAACAAAATGATACATAGTAAAACAGAAAGTTGATAACCTTGCCCTCAGGTCATGATCAACATGAGACTTGCTCTCTTATTCCAATTTTCTTCTTTCTTCTCCTTTATAACGAATGCTGAGAAAATTCAGGAAGGTTTTATTACTATCTTAAACTATTACTAAACCTGATTACAGGGACTCAAACAGACAGCAAATACAACAAAGTATACATCTCTATTCATCAACACCCTCACATATCTATCATTCCCTGAACATCTGTATTGCCCATGCCGTGGTTCATATCCTAATCGTCCTGACAAACAAAACCTATTGAGAAACTCTTATAGGTAAAAAAGCTTATGGACAATGAAATGCAGTACATGTATTGAAATTCCAAAGCCGTGAGGTTCTAAACTAAACAATCACAAGATTCCATACTTGAGGAAGCTAACTATCAATTCTATTAGCTTCAAGAGTAGCCATTGCAGAAAATTAAGCAGGCCATGGTAACAACATCAATAATTATGCTACTAATTACTAATTTATGAAGTAAAAAGCGAAGGGAAAGGGAAGATTACATAGGTATTTAGCTGTCTAACGAAGCTGGAGAAATTGTTATGCTTAAAGTTCTTAGGAAGAAGATCTCGAGCGAACTCCGGTGGATCCCAAACGATAAAACTGTTGTTAGTATCACTCCAAGAAACAATCGAATCGGTAGCTGGATCATCAACCATGTCATAGGTCTTGCTCAGAAACGGAGGAGGCGCGTTTGAACTTAAAATCGCCGCGGGCTGTGGTTGAGGAGATGGCTTAATCTCCATTGATTCTCCACCACCGTCGCTGGTGGTTACTTTGCTGGTTACACCATCCATTCGGATTTTTTTGTTTCCAAGTCAAAATATTTGGGATTTTGAGAAAACTAGGGTTTCATATAGCAATTGGTGAATTACAAGGAGGTTTTGAAGGTGGGAGAGAGAGGTTTTGGTTGAAGATTTAGAGAATTCTCAGAGAACAATCACGAGAGAGAGGTATGGGCGGAGAGAGAGATTAATCGGAGTGTGTTTTTGAAATCGATGGAGGAAGGAGAAAGAAAGAGAGACGACGGGAGACCCATGAACAATTGCGAAATTACGGAAATAGACATTTCGCTTTTTGTCTCTTATTGGGGACGTGTCTAGTTTTTATTGGCTCTTGCGCTCTGTTTTTTTTGGTGTCTCGCAATCAAATTTTTTTGAGGAGAAAAGAGAATTTTTTTTAATAAATGAATTAAAATATTAAATTGAGAGTATTTATCTTATTTTAAATTAAAATTTGAAACTTGAAAACAATATTAAATTATAATTTCTAGAACAAAGTCGTATTTGGAAATTTAAATGATTACAATGAGTGTGTTTTTGGTCACGAGAATGATTCTAAATGAGGTCAATTGAAAGAAAACAAAGAAGCAGAACGGAAATAAAGCTCCGGTGAATCGAAAAACAAAATCGTAAATCGCGATATCAACAGAAAAGAGAATTTCAAAAGAAAATGAAACAACGAAGACTCTTCTCCGATGAATATAGTGAATGCGGAAGATCGAGATTATGCTTTAAGAGAAACTATTGAAAATATAAATTTTTTTTAACAAAATGTGAGAAGGAGCTATTTTGTGATTTTGAGGGTGATTGGCACAAGGCTTTGAAGGCTTTGAGAGTATTCTAAAGTCTCAACCGTTTATTTTTTGCCAATTAGTTTTTTTTTACTTTATTTTTTTTTTTAAGTTCTCACAGCCTCTTTTTTTTTTCTTCTTTGGTTTCCTTCTTTTTCTAAAGTCTCAAAAACGGGGCTTTCAAACAAATAATAAGGCTTTTAGATTAATAATAATTAAAAACTTTCTTTATTCTTCTTACCATAATAATTAGAATCTCTCTATATGTTTACATATATTATTTCACAAATATTTTTTGATAAATGAATTATTATCAGTTTTCTATCTTTCTTTTAAGATCCATTTCAATAACTAGGATATGACCCGCGGTACACCGCGGGTTAATTATTTGATTTTTTTATTTTTATAAATTGATGAATTTATTGTGTATAATATTTTTTGTTGTATACCGCGGGTAACATGCGTTGTATCTAAAATAAAAAATTTTAAGTTGTATTTGTTTTGTTTAGTGTTTAAGATTGTGTAATTGTATTTTGATTTGTTATTTATAGGATTTCACCTGTGGTATATTGTCTCGTATTAATATTGACCCAAACCCGTCCAACCATATAATCTAAAATGAAATTAAACATCATTTTGTTATTTTTTTAATAACACTTTTATTTAAATATCATTTAATTCTAGTTAATTTGAAAGTTGCTTTCAAATAGTTTCCATGTATATTTTTAAATTAGTGTGTGTTTTTGGACCAACCCGTAAAAATAATTTATAATTGTATCTTAAAATACTAATTAGGATTTCACCCGTGATATACTGTCCCATTTTAGATAATTGTAAAAATTAAAGAAAGATCCGAATGACTCAATTTCGGGTCTGAATAAAATAACGACATGATTAAATGCTCAATTTGTTCTTAAAAATGTTAATATAGATTACACACATATTTTTATTCATCGATTGAGTAATATATGTCCGTTTTAAAAAATTTGAATTGTAACATATGCAGAAAAAAAAAACTAAAATTTACTAACTATTTATATATTTTATAATAATTTAAAATAATATAAATATAAGATCAAATAAAAGTGAAATAAGAATCATATATTTATGTTTAAATTAGGTAGAGAGGTTTTAGGATATTAGTGCAAATTTGTTATATTAGCATTAAATCATCATATTTGATTTCTTTATCTATAAAAATCGTGGAGAATATACCATAAATAAAGCGTTTAAATATAGTAATTAGTTGAGAAAGTATATATATTTTAGATTTTATTAATTATTTTCGTTTTTTAATTTTGCCAAAATTTAAGGAAAGATCCGATTGAAGATTTCCGGGTCAAAATTAAATAAATTTGACCCGATTTGGGTACCCAAAAAACTGCTGCAAAAATGTATAGTAGATAATCATTTTATTTTCATCATCAACATTAATATTGGTGTAAAAGAGTTTATAGAATAATATTTTTAATAAACAATATACTTTCATATAGGACATTCAATTAAATTTTCATAAGTTTTTATAAGTTTATCCCACTTCTTGCTAATGTGTTTGGATATTAAATTTCGTCATGATTAATATAAATAAATGGTTTAGAATATTTATTTATTATTTTATTTCTAAACCTTTGTGATTTCTTTAAAATAAATATTTTATTATTAATAATATGATTTTAGTTTATCCACTTCTTAATGCAATGTTTGGTTATTAAAAATTAATGAATAAGAAATATTTCGTTTATTTATTGAGAATATTTTTCTATTCATTTATTTATGAATTTTTGTATTTTTCTAAATTTTTATCATTAATAAAATTATATCGTCACTTGAATTTATTTGTAACATTATTTATATTTATTATGAATATATATAATTTTTAAAAAATAGCAGTTCACATCTTCTACAGCTTTGTTCTACCAATCAGATTTTAATAGTCAAAGTTTCTGCAGCCAAAATTTGTACAGCCAAAGTTCTTAGGGCATCTCCAATGGTGCTCTATATCTTGCTCCAAACTCTATATTTGGAGCAAAATCATTCCAATAGTGCTCTATATCTTGCTCTAAAAATAGAGATATGAATAGTGTTGCTCTTGGAGCAACACTATTCATATCTCTATTTTTAGAGCACAACTTTTTTATTTACAAAATACTCCCTCAATTTTAATATAGTATCATATTATACCTAAACAAAGTTATATACATACATAATTTTATATTAAAAATCATAGTTACTAAATTAATTGAAATTTAAAATATAAAAATAACATATATTAAATTAGAAAATAATGTCATCACAAATGATAAACTAAAAGTACATAAAACGGTTAAACTTGTCGTTAAAAAAACTTAACATATCATAAACAAGTGATTTAATAATCCGGTAGATCGCTTCCAGTTCCACTAATGATGATGCTTAAATAAAAATATATTAAGCATTCGATCTTCTATTTCAGTATTATAATAAAATTTAATTTTAATAATATGGTTATTTTAGATATTTGTTTAAAAATAAACTAACTGGATATAATTCGCAAACTTTAAAAATAAAGGACTATGTGAAGAATTAAAACAAAATATTAAAATAGAATATTTATTTTAGAGCAAAAAATAGAACCAACTATTGGAGCAAACCTCTGCTCTATTTTTAGAGCACTCCAAATTTAGAGCAAGAAATAGAGCTAACGATTGGAGATAGTCCAAAGTTTTTACAGCCAAAAATAACAGCCCTTACCAATCGGCCCCTTTAACGAGAAATAAAGAGATTAATTCTGCATATCAACGATAAATAAAGAGATTAATTCTGCATATCTAGAGGTGTCAAAATGGTTTAAAATTGATGGATCAATCCAAACCAATCCAACTCATGGATCTAATGAGTTGAAAATTTGGATATTAATGGATTAATGGATTAAATGGTTTCATGAGTTTAATGAGTTAGATTGAAATGGTTTGGTTTAAAATGGATTAATGGGTTATCCATAACCAAACCAATAAAAATTAAATAACCAAATATGTAAACCAAATATAACCGAATTAAATAACTAAACAGATTTTAGTAAACCGAAATAAACATAATTTTCTTAAATCGCTTAATCATCGATCTCTCTCGGCGTCAAATCTCTCACTGTCGATCTCTCTCAATCTTATGGTTTTACGATGATGACGACGACGACGACGATGACGGCGACGGCGACGGTGATGATGATGATGATGACGGTGACGATGATGACGACGACGACGACGATAACGACGATGATGGCGACGGCGACGATGATGACGACGACGACGACGGCGACGGCGACGGTAATGATGATGATGATGATGACGGTGACGATGATGACGACGACGACGACGGCGACGGCGACGGTGACGGTGATGATGATGGTGGTGGTGAATTGATGACAATGGAGTGATGGAGTGATGATGATGATGGTGGTGGCAACATGATAGTTACTAATTATCAATTAATTAGGATTTAAATTATAAGAAAACTATGTTATGGATCAATTCATTAAATCCATTAATCCACTCATTTAAATGAGTTATGGGTTAATCCAAACCATTTGCTAAATGAATTGGATTGATTCATTAACCATCAAACACTAAATCAATATGGATATGGGTTGGTTTGGTTTGGTTTAACCAATTTGACACCCTTATGCATATCATATTAGTTACTATGTAATTTTGCAAATTAGACCTAAACAGAATTAAAAAAAAAAAAGGAAATAACAAGAACATGCATACATACATATGTTTATTGGAGGTTCTAAGCTAAAACCCTTAGACCCGAAACCCGAAACTACAGTATGTAATACAGTATTAGAGTTTGTCTTTTTTTTTTGTTTGCCTCACCATTATAAAATAACCTTTAACGCTCTCAATATTTTCTCACAATCACTCTACTACACATCGAAGGGTTTACAATTTTCAGATAGATAATCAAAATCTCTCATTGAAGATGTCGATTATGTTAACACATCGTTACATGATCAGCAATGTTTATGCAGTTCCGTTTCATACCAAAAACGGAATTGGTTTCCACTACTTCTCTTGTGTCTCTGATTTACATGTTCGTGTAAAGTTGGTTCCTTTCTTCGGCTTGAAACGTTTTCGTTACCCACAAAAAGCTTCTTTTAAACCTTCCAAACCGTCTCATACCGTGAAGTCATCACAATGTAAACCAGATCCGGTTATTTTGCGAAGCCCATTATCGAACAAAGTCAAGAAAGAGAATTATTGTTTGATGGTTCGGTCACAATGGGTGCTGCTCCGTCACCGAGACACTTGCCAATTCCAACTTTTTGCGTGTCTTTAGCTAAAGAAGACTTGAGTGAAAAAAATAAAATAAAGACTTGAGTGAGAAGAAGACAGAATCTTGTAAGAGTTTTTGTTAACCAATTTACCTATTTGATTCAGACTAAGTATGCCCAACTCACAATATCTCTATAACCATTAGATTTTTTTTTTTTTTTTCTGGTAAGTGTTTCACTTTTATGCTTTGAATGGAAGAAACGTATCAGTACATGCATATCAAGCATATTTGATGGATTACGCAGATCAAGCGAATCAAACATATCAAACTTAAGAAGGGTAGATATATGTTTATATAGAGAAAAACTAAAAAGGTGATTTAAATAGAATAAACAACTAAAATATTATGTAAACAAATTTCAAAAAGGTATTTTCATTTTAAATCTGATATTAATATATACATTTGCATTTTGAAAAAAAGTATGCCCACTGACTGGCGTCCTTAACAACGTGTGGTCAAACTTCAGATCTCCTCGCACCACCCGAACAGAGACACGAATGCATCAGATAGGGGAAAAAACCACTCCTCCGCTGCCGGAGATGAAGACTTGCTCACTCACGCTTTGCAAAAGCAACTCCAAGACCTGCAATCATAGCTAAAACCCAACAAACCTGTCACGCGAAACCGAATCCGACAAGCAAGGCGCAAGACACCGTTTGAGAGGAGTAGATCTGCAGTACCAGCGAGAGACCCACCGGAAGATGACCCCAGGAAAATCAACCAAAGCGAAGCTCCCACCCACTCCTCACCAGAGGCAACCAACCCACCGGAGACACACCGATGCTCGAAGAAATCGCCAACCCAGATCCGCCGAAGAAAAGCCACTGAATCGATGAATAACTATAGTAATAAATAAATAAAAATTATTTTAAATGTCAAATCACTTATCAATTCAAGAAACCCGTTTTACATTATTTTCTTTTAGCTATTTTTCAAACATTCATTTCATATGGCACTACAAATATTTAACTTTCTCGACAAAAGTCTTTAGTAAACTGAGCAATTAGAAACAAGACATTCATATATATACATTCAAAAATGATGTTTAGAAAGCAAATATAGAAAAACCGCAGCGTAACGCGGATACTCACGTCGTGTTATATAAAACATAGCGTTGCAAAGTGTTAATTAATACAATGGAAAACTTCACTTTGAGAACTCAATAGACTATTTTAGCATATTGGATTATCCAAAGCAGATTGATAATCCCATTTTCATCTACTCAAAAGCAACCATCTGCATAATCTTCAATTATTAGACTAACTAAGAAGTACATTTAAAACAAAATGATATTTACTTTGCCAAATAGTGCATATCAAAACAATAGGAGAATGTCGAAAAAACACGAACTTTCTAATTTCGGATGAAAAAAAACATGAACTTTCCAAATGTCTTTCAAATCATAAAGTTTAGTTTGACTTTTCGATAGAATGGTGAAGTTTTGTTGACTTGGTCATTTCGCGCATGCCGTTAAACTTCTGTTAACCAGACGATCACGGTGTTATCTTTCCGTTATAACTCTGACAAAATGACATCGTTGCTCTGAAACGAGATCATTTCATTAAAAAATAAAATAGAAAAACTGCATCCTAAAAAAATAACTGCTGACTAATTGGACTTACAAAAAACCCTTAATCGTTGAGCTACGATTAAATTTTGATATTATACCAAACAGAACATATATATAATATATTTTAATTTTATATTTCTTTATTTCTATATTTACATGAGAAAGATTGTATAAATTTTATGTCATATATTTAATTTTCTATAGTCCAGAAGTTTTAGTTTTTTTTTTCAATCTAGAAAAGAATAATTTTCCAAATAAAAAAGAAAATAAATCTTTATATATATAATTAAATATTTAAAATTTCAAATATATATTTATGGTAAGTATATTTAATATTTGTTTATGTTTGGTTGTTTTTTTAGTTTTAATATTTTTAATTAATTGCATATATTTTTATTTTATTGTATATTGTTATTTGTTAGTTTTTATATATATATATATATATATATATATATATATATATTTGCTAGAATATCAAAATGTTATCGTAGCACAACGGTTGAGCGTCTCTTGTTAGCCTAATAGGCCAGTTCGGTTCTCCATGGAAATTTTACATTTCAAAAAAATGTATGAAATTGATTATAAATATTTAATTTATGATCCGTTACTCAGTCATAATTTTTGTTGAATTTATTTTTGTTGAAAACAAATATATTACTAAGTCTGAATTTTTGACCCGTTATATTTTTTTCTTTATAGATTGAACAATTTATATTATTTTAAAAAATTCAAATCATAGCATATGTGGAGAAAAATCTATTTTTTTAGTATATGAATGATATGATGATTTATTTGGTTCAAAAAAATATATGGGAGACTCACAAAAATACCCCTTTTCAAAAATGCCCTCTTTGGCTGTCCATTTTTAAAAATACCCCTTTTATGTACAAAATGACTAAATTACTCTTCTTTTAATAAAAGATATGACAAATATATAAGGAAAACGTGAGAATGTGCACACATCAAAATTACAAATTTGATTTTGTAAAAACTTGTAAAACCTTTAAAATACCTTGTAAAATTTTTCCGTAAAAGTTTTTCCCGCCAAAAATTTTTTTTTGCGGGAAAAGTGATTCCACAATTTTTTCGGCGTTAAATTTTTGGCGGAAAAATTTTTGGCGGAAAAAATTTACATGGTATTTTAAAGGTTTTTTACAGGGTATTTATAAAGTTTTACAATGTATTTTAAAAGGTTTTACAACGTATTTATAATGTATTTATAAGATATTATAAGCTTTTACAAGCTATTTTATAAGGTTTTACAAGTTTTTTTTAAGGTTTTACAAGTTATAAATACCTTATAAAATCTTATAAGTACCTTGTAAAACCTTTTAAAATACATTGTAAAACCTTACAAAACACTTGTAAATACTCTGTAAAACCTTTAAAATACTTTGTAAATTTTTCCTGCCAAAACAATTTCGCCAAAAAAAATTGCGGAATCACTTTTCCCGCAAAAAAGATTTTTTGGCGGGAAAAATTTTTACGGGAAAATTTTACAAGGTATTTTAAAGGTTTTACAAGTTTTTACAAGTGTTTTGGCGGGAAAATTGCGGGATCACTTTTCCCGCCAAAAATATTTTGTATTTTGTGGACCCTATTTTGTTTCAAATAAGGGTAAAATGGTCAATTAAAAATTAAAAGAGGGCAAACTTAAAAATGGACTCTCGGGACATTTTTGAAAAGGGGTATTGAAAAAGGGGCATTTTTAACAATTCTCAAAATATAATCAT